AATCGTTTCTTTTATTTGGTCCTGATCAATACCTGATTCTTTCTCGCAAATCCATCCTCTTTGTACGTCTCCTTTAACGGTGCTAAAAGACCCTGTAAATCCAGGTGGAAATTCCTCATGAATCAGCCCGTAAAAGTCATTTGGATCAGGACTTGACTTTTCCCATTTGTTAATTGTCAGAGGTTTGCCATTGACCCAAGTCCAATTTCTTGTTGTTATATTCATCTCCAAACCGATAATCCATTCACCATATTTACTACCTTCTCGGTTTTGAATCGCATTTTTGATAAATTCCCATTCCTGCTCTTCTTCCATCACCACGAGGTGTTTTTTATGGAATTTACAATTAGCATTTGCTTGTGGCCACGCGTAACCACTTGACTTGTTATTAAAGCTATAACACGAACAAAGCCTCTCTCCATCTACATAAAAACATAAAGAAAACAAATTGCAGATATGTTGTTTCAAGTTCTATCAATAATCAACAACAGGAGGGGGAGGGAGGGGAGTGTGTGAGAATGGATTATAGATTGAACTTTCTGAAGCCAAGCATTATAACCGTACGCATGACTTGTTAGGGGGTGATCACCATTATTATTCACGCATTGATCAATAAGGTAATTAAGTAGTCATTTATCCACGTTTTTATTTATTTTTCGTTCGTTAATCATCTGTAGTCTTAAGCAAGACTTACTGATTCGAAAAGGACCATTAGTCTGAAGAAGAACTCGGTTAGTAAGATTTAGAGGGAAAAGCAGAACAATCGTGGCGATAACATAACCTTATACCATACGCACGCCAGCATCTCATACCCAAACCCTACCGTATAACTGAAAGTAGGGTTTGAAACATGGCCTTGGAGAGTCTAGGTACGGGACAACCACATCAAATAGACGTCCGCTTGCAAAGTAGGCGATCACAATTAAAGGTACAGTACTATTCAATACTTCCTCAAATCTTTCTAATTTACATTCTTTTCGTCAAAAAGAGTAAGCATCGCCAAGATAATTATGATAAAAACCAAAACTGCGAATTTATCTATTAAACCTTCGCGCGTCACGCTTGAAATATTTGAGACGATGGTATCATCCAACTCTTACGTCACACGCTGCTTTCTGCATGACGTCATTTTGTCAAGCCAGGAATATGAGCAATCATCACTCAATATTCTTAACCCATGTTAACCAAGCTGTCGTGAGGAGCATGAGACATTTAGATTCAAAGCGGCTTCGACAAAATCTTGACCGGACCGGATCGGATCACGGGCCTGATCATGGACCGGATCGGATTACGGACCGGGTCACCGATCGGCTCGGTTAATTGCAATTATAAATTTTGCACCACAGGTCAAAATAAAGTCTGCGTGACATAATGAAGCTGGGAGTTCCAGTGGGGCCTGCGTTTGATTATGTCGCGAAGACTTTATTTTGGCTTGTCGCGCACAATTTCTAATTTTATTTATATGTGATCCGATCCCTTCCGATCCGGTCCGATCCAGATTTTCATGGTGCCCGCTTCATAGGGACAACTAAATGAAAGCTGGTCGAGTTTGCTGGATGACACGTTGGATTTGATCAAAAATGCACGTGTTTCCTTTTCATTCCAATCGACAATCGTTGTACAGCTTGCACCATGTTAAGGCAAACTGCGTGAAAAGTCTTCTTTCCTAACAGTCAAAATGCAGTATGTCAATAACATCTGCGTATGTAAGTCATTTTCATTGTAAAAATTCGCATTTGAAATAGATTACATTTTTATGTCACATTAGATCGATGGCAAATAAGTCACGCCATCTTTGACAAGGATCGTTGCACGACATTTTTAAAACAATAAAGCAAGCTGTGGCGATGTACTTTCCAAACTCGAGAAAGTCGAACTTAAAGCAAACACGTTACAACGGATCAAAATGTATGGATCTATTGCCATAATGGAGGCCGCTACTTCCTTTTCAATCAAACGATCATTGTTGTGTAGCGTGAGGTGTGTTTGGGTAAAGTGCGAGATAATTCTTCTTTAAAAACAATCAAAACATAATTTGCGAGCAAGTCGTTTGGTGGTAAATTTCGCAATTTAAAGCGTTGGATGCGTAAGATATTAGATTTGATCTTTAAGTATCAATCACGTATGTACATCAACAAAACTCGTGAAGTCAAGGATTATTTTCAATTACATTTCACTTACCAGTTCTCGGCAGCAACAAACCAATTACAAGCACGAACCATACATGTATCCTCACGTAAGTCATCGTCCTAGGCTTACGTTTTGGATGAGAAAGTTTGAAACGGCACGAAAGTGAAAGTTACACTTGGACGACCAATTAAGATATTTCTGGTCACTCAACGTGTGACGTGGGAGGAATCAACGGAAGTTTGACAAGAGATCCCGCCTCAGAGAAACTTTAAAATAAATTAAAAGCAAATTGAATTCAACAGAAAATGAGAATATGAAAAAGCGAAATTTTGAATGATAAAACAACGCAAATTCCTACTCTCAGCTTCTCTTTTAGCTTTAGACGAGAGGCAGTGTTCTGGTTTCTATCGAATAAGCAGGGTGTATTGCGTTAGATATTTTAGGAATGTTCTCGAAAACCTTTGTCGACGGATTGAGGTCGTCAGGGTCAGGCACTGTCTAGAAAACCGAACGCCACAATTAAGGAAAAAAAATCAACGCAAGACTCTTTTGTCTCTCTATTATTTATGCATGAACTTAGGTGCATATTGCTTGTGGTCTTCCAGATAGCTCGATAGATATTAACAAAGGTTAGTTTCGCATTCATTTTTGAAGCGATCTTCTAATCGCCCTGCTAAAACAGTTTGATCATTCAAATTTATATCTTTGTATTTTGATTTCTTGTTTGAAAGTATTTACTCAGCACTTAACCAAAATCATATCGATGGAATGTAAACACGAGGACCGGAACCCATCAAGGGAATCTTTCTGTACGGATGAGTAATTACCACGATTCGCATGTAAATTTGATAAACAAAGTTCCAAACACTTACGTTATTTCAGTCATCTATTTATTTAAAATTTTTTACACAGACTAAATCGTTCTCTTGGTATGGATCCTGTAAGGACGCACCATACGTGAACGTACTAACGTCCTGTAGATAGTGGGGCTGTTGTATTGGTTGATTAAATGAAAACAAAATGCTAATTTATTCATCTTTGTTATGGCGTTTTCCAAGACAGTGCGAAAAAAACCTCGAAGCAAAGTCCTATCGAATAATTACCACTAACTACGTAATACAGAATAAGTTAAATAACAATCGACTCAAAGCCTTCTTTTTTTTTTTAATCCGGAAAAAAAAGCCTCGTAGTCGCACTAGGAGGCGAGCTCCTTCACCCGTCACGCAATCTATGCTCTCAAACATATGCACGTGTGCAGATACAGTTGCCTCGCCTTGCTCTACTTTTTTCTCTGTCAGTGATTATAGTGTTATGAAGAAGCTGTTTTTTTTTTCTTTTAATTTCTTTTATTACTTTGGGCAAAGCATTCACTGTACTATGGAACTTAACTGGTATGTAATGTATTATTACGCTTGCAACATTTCATTTTGAAAACATACTTAATGATAATAAATTACGAATTTGTATAACTATATTACCATTAGAGAAATGCCTTGGTTTGCTTTTTCCATTTTTTATGTTATTATCATTATTGTTATTGCTATTTTTATTACTGTTGCTATTATTATCATTGTTACTGTTATCAAATTGTTACTATTATTTTTTTATTTTTTAAATTTTTGTTTTTGATGGCGAATCTGCTACAAGTTAACAAGTTAAATTCTTTGCCAAAGAGAGAGAAAAAAAAAATCAAATCCCATTTTCAAAGTTTCTTATAACGAATTAATTTTATCATTCCAAAGATTGTTAATTAACTGATGCTGATACGAACGAGGCCGAGGAGAGCGAAGCAGGAAAAGGCAATCAAAGCGATGTCGCTTTCACAAAAATGTCACTCTGCTTTTTTTCGGTTTTGGTGTCTTTGGATTACCTGACTACCCCGCAACTGATTTTGTTTTAATATCTCCATCAAAGTTGCCTTTGACAAACTGCTGATTTAGACTTTTTGAAGGACTGTGGGATCTCTATACAACATATCATGATTAGGGTCACAGCTATTGCCAAATACGAGAGAGGGCTAGAGTATTTGCCAAAAAGCACAGAGAAGTTTCTCCTCTCTCATACCCCTCTGATGATATATAATATACATCAAGCCTTTCCCCTTTCTTAAGATGGGCAGGGAGGGGAGGGGAGTTTGGAAGTGCGACATCCAACAAGAACTGCGCAATAGAGTAGGGTCATATTAGATGTCAATTTCCGTCGAAGTAGATCTTACCTTCTGAAAGCAGCTTTTTCTGAGTAATCGTCAATTGGGTTCTAAGTGAGGTGAACGCTGTCTTTTTCCTCAAGGTTGGGGGGGTTGATCGAGGTCTTTTTATTCTCTTAATGAAAATATCATCATTTTCTGAATTGTTGGGTACAGTGGAACAATCTTGGAAGAAAATACGAGTACGAGTTACTCGCTTCAAAATCAAAGTTCGCTCACAACATTTTTTTCTCACTGTAATTTTTAACTGGGTAAACATAGATTCGGCATGATCATGAACTTACTGACTTGCTTTTCACATATTTATCCTGGATCATCATAATAGTTTCTTGCTTGGCACGCTTTTTTGTTATACTTTCCGTTTTGCAACATCTCTGCATATTTAACTGATGTTTATGGGAAGCCGTTTGATAAAAGAGAAGAAGACAAACAAGTGAAAATGATCTATACACTTATCTTTTAATTGTATATATCATTCAAGAATCAGAAGAAGCTACACAGAAGGAGAACTGAATAAAACCCTTGGACACAGACGAAAGTTTTTACATCTGCCACGGTGCAGTA